AAGCGAGAAAACCAAAAAATAATACCAACAAAAAACAACAAAAACAATACCACCAAAAACAAGAGGGTAGTATATATATATATATATATAATACACTGTAATTTGATATGTAACACATGCGTACAGCTTTTATAGGAATCAATATTTTCCAGTGTTTTTACATATTATCTTGTGAATCTTGTTCATTGGCTATCTTGTTTATAATCAAACTTTCGTCTCTCGAATATATGTATATAGTTACATCTATACAGTTCTCTACTAGAGACATGTGGGAGGGAACTTTGTAATCGAAGAATATATTCAAAAATGATATTTCGCAGCACAGGACAGAGTTGTGAGTCAGAAGTCTTAAAACCTGGACATAGCGTCCACGACACTGTTAAGCCTTCATAGCAGCGCTTGCAATAGCTGCTGACACCTCCCCACATCGATTTAGCAGACTCCCTCCTCCCTATCTACTCCATCCATGGGGCTACAGTGGGCCACCCGCACCTGCCTTCCACGAGACGTTTTCGCTTTCGTCGCAGCGGCTCGCATGGCTGAGACATGCTGGGACTATGGGTGGCCATCAGACCAATTCCCGAGTTTCATGTCATCTGCTCATCAGCATTGCCACGGAAGATGACGTGGGCTCTTCGATTGAACCGCTTCTCCGGCGACCCCTTCTTGTCACGCAGAGTTGTTTACCCCCAAATGCAGTGTCGAACTTCTGTTTTGTGGGCCCCAGGTCATGCTCAAATGTAACTACAGTATCTTTGAAGACTGAAACCGTCTGAAAGCGTCTCGTGTTCCAGTCTAAGCTGGTCACGTGAAAAGCCGCCGGATGTCAAGTGCCGCAATGATCGCGCATTGCATGGCTTCGCCACCGAAGCTTCATCGAGCCCGTAGAAAGTGCAACGGCAGGGCCCTGGAAGCTGCTTACTTTTCAGCTTCTGTCGGGAAGCTCCCTGCCAAATAATTACAAAAAAAGTCAGATGTCGCACAGGTCCGCCCCAGATGAGAGTAGATCGACATCAAAAACTGGCAGATGTAAAGAGCTTTACACCACCTTGGCTTACCGCTTACAGTAAACCTCGTAGCGTGGAAATACACATCTGGGATGACACCAGAATGGCCATCAAAGATAGCTGCGGCTGTATCTGCGCCGGTAAAGCCGGCAAGGGGCAGTGCAAACTGCCGAAATCGAAAAAGTATGTAGTTAACAAAAACCAACGACATTAGAGGATCCGTCACATTCTCTAGCAACTCTGCTCGAATGGCCGGCCTCGTGAAACCACGAGAAAGGCGGCAATGTTGTTACCGCCTGACTATGCGTGCAGGTCGAGTCTACGCCCGTTGGCTCTCTTCAGAAAGCCGAACATCTAATTACCGAACAGATTCCGCTTCATAACCTTGGGGTGCCCTAAGGTTTAAGGCCTTCCATCGCATCCCAGAAGTCGCAGATCTCTCCTCGAAGATCTGGGTTCCTTCGGTCGGAGCACTTGCGCTTCAGGCAAAGCTCTATGCCGAGGTTTCGGGCTCACAGCTTCAGAGGGCATCGGTAAGTCCAACAGATATCCCTACATACCGATGCAGAGTTCTACACACCCTCCTCCCCGCTCCATCGATCCCTCGCTTTCTTCCTCGCAGAATGAGCCCGAGCGTGCTGGACCCGGGTCATGGCCCCCGTGATCTCTCAAGGAGGAGGCAATGCGGTCGGTGTTTCCCATCCTATCATGAAGCTTCAACCTGGAGTGGTCGTGCACGACATACTGCACTCTTGTACAGGCGGTGCATCGATTTTCCATCGATTGAGCCCCGGACCCTGAACTCCAGCGCACACCCTGGCCGTATCCTCACGCCCTCTACGGCCCTACCCTGAAATACTTGCGACAGCCACCCCTCTTTTGAACGTGCAGCAACGGCGTGCTCTTACTCTGCTCCTCTCTGGCGCTCGCTCGCTCGCTCTCGCTCTCTCGCTCTCTCGCTCTCGCTCTCGCACTCGCTCTCTCTCTCCCTCTCTCTCTCTTGCTTGCTTGCTTGCTTGCTGAGGGGTGTGAGCACATGCAAGCATGCAGGCTGGCGCGAAGGCCTACACCTATGGCTCGCATCTGTTCGTCCTCGATGCCCCTTTTGGGTGGGTTGACAAGCACGTTCCCTCGAGTGTACCTGCAATCTCTCTCTCTCACTCTCTCTCTCTCTGTCTCTCTCTCTCTCTCTCTCTTATCTCCCTCCCTCTCCCTTTTCTTTCTGCCGGGCTTACGGGTCGCATGCGACCCGCAGGCTCTTGACATAGTATGATATATATATATATATATAATGATAGAAACATACAATCTATGTAAATAAACCTGTCACAAACTAACTCACGACATTTACTATGACTAGCTAACTAAACTAAACCGACGATCATCCCGGCACTGCATGTGCTGGTTAACCTGTGAAAACTGTCTATGTGTGTGTGACGTTGTATTTAAATTTACGCATCCTTAACACACTTCTTTCAGTGTTTGTGACTATGCATTTAAACATGCGATGATGGTCTCTTTGAGGTTTCCGGTCGTTTTCGACACTCGCAGCTGCAGGTTTGGGGCTTTCAGATAAGCCCTGAACCCTAAAACTGTTGTTCGAAGCTGGGATCGCTTTGAGCGTGCAGGGAAGGTTGCTATTCGAAGCTTGGTTCCTTCTAGGACATGTAAAGGCGCTTCCGAAAAGTAGAGCCTCGTCACGGCCAGCTGAGCACAAGACGAGGTCAAAGGCTAGCCGGAAGCAGACGTGGAACCACCAGTTAGACGACTCCGGTCAAAGTGCACAAAGCCCGATACAAGTGAGTTTCGCGGTAAATTCTCCGGCACTCCACCTTGCAGCGAAGTGTCACCCGTGAGGCACCAGCCTGGAACCACATACCTCCCTCCTTGACCTCGGGCCATGCAGGCTTCTGGTTGGCCTGGCGCAGACGGACAAGTTCAACACAAAGGTGCGCTCAAAGCAGCGACTTTGACACCTTTCGAGGCTACCAGCTTAATCACTTTCTGGCGCTTGAGCAAGGTGGCCTGGCTAACGACGAAGTGGTTCCAGCGGTTCGGATCACCGGAACCTGAGTCTCAGCCATGAGGCCAACCTATGAAAGGTGCCACTGGCCGTACTTTCCGGAGAGTCGCGAAGGAAGTCGGCCATGAAGGTCGGATACACGTTCACCAGGTCCTGAGTCTGCAGATCTCGGAAGCAACGCTCAGTCAGCTCCCCAGGCAGCAATAACACTCTCTTGCCACAAGAGGCCTCAGCGCTGCTGGAAACACGACTCCGGTTGGGGAAGAAGTAGTCCAGATCTGTCCCATGGGCCTCGGTGCACTTGCCATCAAGGATCTCCTGTTACTGCTTAGCATCTTCTGAGCTTCCTGTGTTTCCTATACTATACTTGTGGGCAAACTCTTGCAGCACTGGGCGAGGTTGGCAGGGGAATTCGCCTGAAGTGTCGCATGATTTACGGGAGTGGAGGAAGAAGACGGACTACCTGCACAAGCAGCGCTTTCTGATATGCTTCTTCTCCGTGCTTGTGGAGACGCGTGAACGATGAATTCTGCATCCTTTGCCTGGAAGATGCATCCTTGGGCAGTCCGAGTCTCAGCTCCCGGGCACGGCCAGCAGCTCTTTGCCTCTACCCTGCAAGAACAAGGAAGTATCTTCGGTCTAAGTGACAACAGCCGTTGTGCCGAATCATGATGTTGCTCTTAGTCCTCACTGACGGCCAGAAAGCAATCAAGCGGTTTGCACCCAGGATCAACAGCAGCAGCATACTGGATGGCGTGGCATCTGCTCCCCGTAAGCACAACTTTGGATGCTTGGCACCACGGCCGCCTCTCCAAGTGATGGGGGATATGGATAGTGTGTGGACATTCAGGTGTAGGATCCAAAGCCCCCCAAAAGCGCCTCTGCGGGTGCGAAGTTGGCTGATTATGCCGGGTCTCCATGGCTGGGATGCCTGGCAGGCAATGGCCATTCATGTGTTACTACTGTAGAGTCCCGAACTCATCTGCCAAATTTCCAGCAATCGTTACAAACAAAGCCCGAGGCATAAGGCCATTTGGCGCCTGCAAGAGCTACAGAATCATGATGTATTGCATTATATTGTACTATGTTATGTGATATCCCGTCACGTTATATACTACACCATCCTCCTGGTATCTCATTTTTTAAGTCTTGTAGTTTCGAAGCTGGAAACCTGGAACCCTGAAGGGCCTGCTCGGGGGTTGTTGGCAGATCCAACACCCCATAAATACCAGTAGGCCTGGCGTGTGGGGGGGGGTATCTTCCAGGTTGGGGCTCACTGAACTTTGATATCTCGTGGGGTCTGTATTCGGAAATTGCTCTCTCACGGGCACCTGAGGGGAATCCTGTTCAGAGGGTCGCATCATCACCAAGTAGAGTTTGCTGCGGACCCTCTCGTTGCCAGAGGTTGATGCATTCTCGTATGCCTGCGGAAAAGCTCATCTGCGTGGGCGTTGCCATAGCCGCGCAATGCTGCACTGCTGCTAGATATGCTACAGAAACAGCGGCTCCAATCCTGACCCTTGAAACCCACAGAAGCATGCTCGCGACATCGTGCGTAGCAAGGGTGTAAGCGACTCGCGCTTTGTGAAGCAACAGGAAGATCTGAATTACGTAGCATTGACAAGCCTTCTAGGGCTCCTGCCAGGGCCTCCTGTATTAAGTGTGGCCTTGCGCTTGGGGTCGCAAGCTTGCAGGCTGGCCTTTGCACCAGTGGCTTCGTGCCAAGCACGCGCCGACCGGCGCGCGACACATGTCATGGCCCTGTCGGCACGGACCTCTCCACATCACATCTGGTCATCTGCGGACAGCATACTACTCAAATACCCAAACAGCCGTCCGGAATGATTGCAATGCCAAGAAACGCGTCGAGCTGCCCAGTAGGCCGGAGACCATCCTTCGTGCGAGAATTTGTTGGCCTGCAAGCGACATAGCACGCAAAAGCAACCTTGACAACGGGAGTGCTACATTGATACATGGCTGTGGTTCTACATAGACGTCAAAGAACTCTCATTGACATGAAAACAAGCCCCCGAGATTTGTCGTGCCGGCCTTGTCGTAGAGGTTCTTCTCGGACAGACTTTCCTGCTTGCACAGCTCGCCAAGCCGTTTCCAGTCAAACAAAAATCTAAATATATCCCTACATATTTATATATATATATATGTAAAAATATGTATGTATATATATACACATGACACTACATAGTCTATATGCTGTATATGTATATACATGTCTTTTTCCCTCTCACACCGCCGAAGCTGCATCTACATGTCTATACAAACAAAACAGAATGTTACCCGATGATTTAGTTTGGTGCGCTGTACTGCATGTACTCTATGTTACATTGTATACCATATTCCATGATATACACATAATATACTGACATTTATATGTCTATATGTATATATATATATATATGTAACCCAAATGCAATGGCGACTTATCTGCAGTTGCGCCGAGCTTTGATTGAACGGGGCATTGCTTGCTGCAAGATATTGGAGCAGGATGCTGAAACACTTCGAGAGCTCGGAAACCGAGCCTAGTAGATCTTGACAACACTGGGAACTTGCCACTTCGGCAGAACTGACTCCAACCAAATCCTCAGTTTCGTTTCAGCCAACAACAACTGCAATCTACAACACTGCTGACACTGCTCCAATGATCCTGTAAGTCCGGGAAAAGCGGAACGCAAACACACATAACTTTGCACACCAAGAACGATTGTCGACCAAATGGCAGCTGCAGAATGTCTAACACACTATGATCGGGGTGTAATGCGGCAATTGCGCATGACCATCACTGCTGGTGTGTGTTTTGGTTCCTGTTACTACGATTGTGATTCACGACGATGCTTACTACACCTTACTGCTGTGGAAGTTTGGTGTCTTCTGAAGCGCACTGAAGTCGGCCGAGCGGCTCGAAGTCCTCCATCTTGGCATCAGCCCCGATGTCAACGAAGGAATCTTCGATGGCAGTGCCTATGATGATAGGCACATCCTTGTGCACCTTCTTTTGCTTCAGCGCATCCATAGGCGAGTGTGGCAGGGTTACCTCGGCCGCGCGCTGTCGGAATGGTAGACATGAGACAAACAATCGCAGCGAGAAGAGCACGTGGAAAGCGCGCATGTTGAAGCGTTATAAAGCACTCAAGCGTAGAGGCTTTTTGTATGAATGGTCTCGAACCTTATGTAAGCAGTCAGCCTTCGTCAAGAGAGAGCGAGAATGTGCGATAACCCCGCAGCCTCAACTGACCCTGGCTGAGCCGTCGTCAGCGGACTCGCACTTTGCGCTATCACAAGATAATTAGTCCAGACTCGGCGTGCTGGAAAGCTTGTAATTAATATGCCTCCTCTGACGGTTTGCACAGAACTTCACTTCTCAGAAACATACGACACTTAAAAGCTTAGCGAGGTACGAGTAGAATTGCTGTATGAGACATCTCGGGTTGAAAGAGCTTGCTCGGAGGGTTCAGGCTTCAGTTCGTCTTACAGAATCACTGAGAAAGCTCAACCAGTGCACAGGCAAGCTACGCATCCCGCACACATTGCCAAAGCAAAATGCAAGGATGCAGCATACTCCCTGCCGAAGTGGGGTGTTGGATCTGCACGGGGCATTTAGGTCTGAGCTGCGCCATCTATGGTTGGTGCTGCGAAGAATTGGCTGGCGCTCTGCGCTTCCAGCAGTTCTTCCATGTCCATCTTCATCAGACCTGCGTGTCCAACACATGAACTGCAATCACAAACATGGCGCTAACGAAAATGACGTCGTCATCTGGCACTTCTTCAGACCCTGGCCTTCTGCAGCCTGTCTCGAGTTCTGCAAGCGGTTTGTGGAAACCCAAAGCGCTGGGAGAATTCGGTGCCGCTGAGGGTTGAGTTTCGGCACTCAAAGGGTTCGTCAGGCTTTTGCAATCATAGCAATACGGCCCCTGGTAACTTTGGTAACACTTACGACTACCGTGCATCTGCATTATACATGAATGCTCTTACTTACAATCCTGTATCACAACCATTCTCGTTATCACAATGGCTATTATTGCTACCGTTCATGATATTCATACTGTTGTTGTTATCCTGAAGCTTCAGGGCTTCGAAGGTCTCTGCAAATCGCGTAGCAGTAGACAGCATGAGTCCAACTAACAAAATATCGAGCAAAACACAAGAGGACCAGATCATTCTGCACCCATCGATTTGCGGCACTGGTGTGCAATTAAGCCGTCGAGGATTGGATTGGCCAAGCAGCTGCATGGCGCACCATCCTCCCAGCATTCAGCTTCTTTGGCGCATTTGGTGGCGTTGAGGAAGGTCTCGTAGCTCCTCTATCTCACGATTACGTTTGCCCATTCGAGTGTCTCATGAATGCGCCTTGCAACGCACGACGATACACCTTGTGATGCTGCCGTCTCTCATGTCCTACTTGTCCTACACCCTGCCATATCCAGGTACTGTGCTCTGGTGGTGTCCTTTTGGGTAAATACTGGGAAACTATCCCTGACTGCAACCTGCATGCAAACTCTCGTTTCCAAGCCCAGGGGCTCCTCTCACAAGCACTTGCAGTTTGGGAGCCCCAATCTGCAAAGCCTCCGCTGAGCCTCGGCGGATGATGTTTGGCTTGAGCCTACATTATCTAACTAAAGCCGCTGAAAAGTGTGCCTAATCAATAGCCCATCCAAGTGCTCCGTCCTGTACCTACGAACCGTTTTGCCCAACTGCGGAAGGCCGTGCATGCATTTTGGCGGTGTCGACGGAGATTCAAGTCCAAGCCATGGTGCATGATGCCGCGGCTAAAGAGTCCTCCGAGCATTACATCTCGGCACAGCAACTTTGCAAGAGTGCAAGACATTGAAGCACAGCTCATCTTGCAAACATTCTGCTCTGCCCTGGCAACGTCCCAACACACACGACTTTGACTCGCTCGTCTTCGCCGGCAGACTGAACTGCCTGCTGTACTTGTAAGCCCTCAATGCCTCATGTATGCCTGATATAGATCTTCCATCATCTTCCGTGACGTACCGACCTACTGTAGCTACATTTTTCCTTGACATGGAGCTACCAATAGTTGCAGGGCGGGAATCCCACGCCCGATGTAGCAGTCCCATGTCATTGCCAGGGACGACGACTACAACGACTACTGCCACCAAGAGTACATAATACGGCTGCTGCTGCTGCTGCCATTTCTGGTGCTGGCAATCAATAAACGTGGATATTCTGACCACCAGTGACTGCTATCATCATTCTTCGTACTACTGCTGCTGCTGCTGCTCCTCCTCCTCCTCCTCCTCCTTCTCCTCCTACTCCTACTCCTACCCCTACCCCTACTCCTACTCCTGCCACTGCTACGACTACTACCACAACAACAACTACTACTACTACTACTACTACTACTACTACTACTACTACTACTCCTACTACTGCGACTGCGACTACGAAGACGGCGACGACGACGACGACAACTACAACTACAACTACAACTACAACTACAACTGCTACTACTACTACTACTACTACTACTACTACTACTACTACTACTACTACTACTACTACTACTACTACTACTTGCATGCACATGCTTTTCGCAGCTTGTGGAAGAATCCTGGTACATGCTTGAAAACACCGAGGCCTATCGATCTCAAAAGCATGCAAGGGCAATTTTATGTTACGTGTTACCGTGCAGAATTTGTCTAGCAGCAACTGATCAATGCGCACCAGCTCTGCCAATGCTCATGTCTTTCAGCTCTTCCCGTTTTTGTTTCATCTTTGCTACGGATAGCTTTATTCCAGCGCCCGCCTCGGCTGCTTGGCATGGCCAGGTGAACACTGACGGATGCTGAGCCTGCTAGCACGCTCAGCTAGCATGTCGTTGCAGTGGTGTGGGATTGACACTCGGCACTGCGTTGGTGCTCGACATGTGACAGCTCCGGGACAGTTGTAGCTTGGGGCAGGCACCTTGGCATGTGTCCCACCTTTCTTCCCTGCACACAAAGGTCTCGTGTTAGATAGCTCGCCTCCCTCGTCATGTGCAAAGCACAATCTACGACATCCGTGTTTTGGATAATCATCCCCACACCTTCGGCTTCCTGGCCTGCAGACCAGCCCACCAGCCCCACTCGTGATGGGTCGCCGCCGAAGGCCTCGATGTTACCTGGCAAGCAGGATGTCCAACTGCGGTCGGGTGTCGGGGTTGAGTGGTTTTCAGCTGTAGGGGGGTTCCTAAGACAGCGCGTAAGCGAGGAGCTTCCACATCGCGGAGTGAAATGAGCCCTGAGAAGTTGCGTCGAGCCACACAAAACCAACATGTAAACATGCAGAGAAGCAGTTGGTACCTGCACTGATGTTAAGAGGCTTCCAAACGAAAGCAGCAGCTTTTGTTGCTTGAGGCTCTCAGGCTTCGGTGCAAATGAGAAGACTCCTTCGTTGGACAAGCGATTGCCCGAACTGAACAAGCAGCCTAGGGCCTGCGAAGCTGGATCTCGGGTCTGGTGAAAACGGCCCAAAGCCAGATAAATTATTCAACATGGCGACAGGGTGCGTTGCACCCACTGCAAGGCCAGCTGTTGGTCCAGGATGCCAAAATTGCCTCATCCAGCACAGCGGTGGCTTGTCGGGCTTACGGTGTGATGCCATCTATGGATGGTTGTCTTGGTTGCATATGAAATTGAAACATTCGAAAAGTTACTGACATGATGCACGCTGTGGGACTGCATCATCTCATTGGGTAAGCAAGTCTAACCTACCACGTCGCAGCTGAGCTCAAACTCCCGGCATAGCCATGCAGACATTGACCGTGGTCCTTTTTGACATGCAGGCGAATGCAACATCGGGCCTCCCGGGCCTCCTGTCGCCGCTCCGCTTATGGCAGAACAAAGATGGCGTAGTCGTAATCGTAGCCCGAGCTGATCGTCCAAGGGCAGTTCTCGTTGCAGAGGTGGTCCGAACCAATGAGGCCACCGATGCCGCCATCGCTGCCCCAGTGGTGCCGCTCCGTTCGCATCTCCGCATCTGCCTGCGGCCGTGATGTTTTGCCACAGCTGTTGCCCCCACTGATCATCTGAGTGTCGTACTGGGTGCCAAGGCCGGCTCCAAAGTTTCCGGACCAGTTGACGTCGACGTTCACGGAGAGCCGATTGAAGTCGAAGTCCCCATTCTCATGGTTTGAGTTCACATAGAGCTTATCGGTGCCGTCGATCGTGTTCTTGATCAGGGGCTCGTTCTTGATGAGGGTTCCCACGTCACCTCCGGTGGTTTCCACAGCCATCTGGAACTTCTTCTCCTGAAGCCCTGTAGAGCAAGTGTTGCCGATCGTGAACCAGCCCTGCAGCGTCTTGGTGTCGACCAGCTTCCAGGAGCGCCATCCAAGAGCCTTGCCCTCGTTGTGGCAGACGATCAGCAGTTGCTTGGCCTGAACCTTGTTGAAGACATCCACGTCCTTGTAGTCCCGAGTGAAGCGTTCTCCCGCTTTGTCGCTGGCGCCGCCCAGGGCTGTCGCGGACTCCCAGAAGTCGGTGTTGATGTACGACACAACATTGCCATCGTTCGTATCGATGTTGAGGGCAAGGTGCCAGTCGCCGGAAGGCGTGGTGCCGAGTCCCGAGAAGTCCAAGCCGGACGTGCCGCGAGATGGCTGCTGGCAGCAGGAAGCAACACAGGCTTTGGCCGGGCTGTCCGCTGGCAGGCCGTCGAAGTTGGCCTGCACATATCCTGCACTGCCGGCCTTGTTCGCAGGGACGTGGCAGGTGGGCTTGTTGGGGATAGTGGAGAGCTGCAGCGGGAGGTCGCTGTCGGCCTGCGCGCTCATGTCCTTTGCCTGGCAGCTGTCAATTTCGCTGGCCCTCTTTGACTCCTCGAGGTTGAAGACCTGAATGATGCACTCCATTCGCAAGATGGCGCGCCACTCCTTCCACTGTTGGGGAGGGGGGCATTGCTTAACTGTTTAAACGCACCGATGTTTAAAGGCTCGAAAACCGAGGGAACCGTCTGATAAGTCATGTCTGAACCGTTTCTTGCTTAATGTTTAAACTTGAAACTTGAAACCTTCAAAACTTAACATGAAGCGATATGATTAACATACTGTCCGGTGAGAGAACTGCAATCTTGCAATTCTCTAACCGGCCAGGTTTGAACATGCTTGAACCGTTCAATGTTATTCAAAACAGATTCAACTTGAACCAAACTCGAGGCTCAGCGTGTAAACCCATGCGCCTAGAGATGTGTGGCACTCACAGAACTGTTTATATGTCTGCTTCAACACTGGCTTAAACACATCGGGGATGTGCGGCACTCAGGGAACTGCTAGAACATGGTTTAGACACATTCCGGATGTGTGGCACTCAGGAAACATTTTTGTCACTCGTGCTCGACAAGTCATATACATATAAATAGAATCGGGACGTGCGGCATGCACGGACAGGAAGTGCCTCGGGAGTTTGGACAGGTGCGTTAAAGCATGTTTAAACCCACATGTATATAAACCGTGCTTGAGACATCCCAGTGCGACGAGACTGAAGAAACAAATCAACAAGCATTCGCCGAATGGCCGAACATGTTCAAACATGTTTAAACCGTTTAAATACCCTAAACGGTTTTGACACGACCCCGACTCCTTCTTCAAGCTGTCCAGCTGGGTCATGGACGACGTCTGGACAGACTCGTAATTCGCGACAGCCTTGTCGTAGCACGTTCCAGAAGCCTCACACTTGCTAGTCGCCGCCTCGTAGTGGGAGCAAGAAAGGCTGTCCATGGCATCCTGCACGCTGTCGCAGTTTTCCTTTTGGCTTTCGTAGGTCTTCAATGCGACGGTGCACTCGGGTCCCTTGTCTTCCAACTCCTTCTTGGCTGTGGCGCACCCCTCTTTGAGCTTCTTGTACTCTGCCAGAGGCCAGAGTCTTCTGCGAAGCCTCGATCAGCCGCGCGTGGTAAGCCTCGAAGGCCTCGCCAGACTTCACTTCACAAGAGTCCTTTGCGCTGTACATGGTCTTCTCCAGTGCTTGCAGCGCATCGCATGTCGTCTTGGCGGTGCTTGTCACTGTCTTCAACTCGGTCTGGCAGGTGTTCTGCGCATCGAGGTTCTGCTTCTGAGTCTGTCGACATGTCTTGTGGGCTGCGCTCTTGGTCGTGAAGTTCTTCTCGAAGGCCGCGGAGCTCTTTTGCATCTCCTGACCACCGCAATCGGACATGGCATTGCCCGCGTTGGTCAAGGTGGCCTGCATCCCATCCAAAGTCTTCTTGATCGAGGGCTTGGCATCGTTCAAGAGCTGCTGGATCTTGTCCACCAAGGCTTTGGTCTCCGGGCTGGACCGGCCCTTCGAGGCGCGGAGGGCCGATACCAGCGTGTCCTCGAAGTCGAGGTCGCTGTCGGAGTTGATGGGCAGCCTCAGCAGGTTCAGCGAGCCCTGCTTCAAGGCAACGGCTCCCACCACTAAGAGTGCCAGGAACCACTTCATTTCGTCAGAGCGGACGGAAAAAAAGGCACTGAGCTAGGTCGGTTATACTTGGCTCTTGACCTGAGCCAAAGCGGTCATTTTGGGGTTTGGGTGTCAGGGCATGCGTCAGGCTCTTCCAGCAGTCCAAGATCTGTGCAGCAAGGAAGGCATGGAACAAGTCAAAGATACAAGTAAATCTAGCTATAGCAGCTGTTCTCAGTGCCTTCCGGGCTTTGGGCATTTTCCGTGGTTTGCGAGTGAGCTGCGGCATTCGGACATGCCAGGGAGCCAGAACAACAACTCAGAGGAAAGCTGCTTTCAAAGTCTGTGCCCGCAGAATGTGAGGGGCGGAACTAGCGGACACCTGCCTCAAGTCTCGGTTTGCTGGTCGGCTCAAGCTTGCCCGGTTGATTCTGTAGCCTCTCGCTATGAAGTTGCAGTTGCACCTTCGTGGCAAAGGGTTTGCATAAATATCTTCGTGGTCAGCATTGCGGTCGGCAAGCAGGAGGAAGGCTGCTTGCGGCCGAAGATTCCTATGCCCTGCTGGCCCTGCTGTCGCTGCAGACGGCGGCTGCCGAGGAAGCCGAAAACGCCGAGCCTGTGGGGGGCGCGCAGTATGTGCAATTTCGCAGATGAATGCTGATGCATCTTTCGAGCTAACACCGCCTACATCGCACAAGACTGTAGCTCTCTTTGCGCCTCTGTCTGTGTCTGTCTGTGCGTGTGTCTGTCTGTGTGTGTGTGTGTGTGTGTGTGTGTGTGTGCGGGTGCGGGGTGCGCGCGCGCGTGTGCTTGTGCTTGTGCTTGTGCTTGTGCTTGTGCTTGGGTGGGGGTGGGGGTGGGGTGGGTGGTGGGGGGGTGGTGGAGGGGGTGGGTGGGTGGTGGGGTGGGTGGGTGGGGTGGGGTGGTGGGTGGGGGTGGGGGTGGGGTGTGGGTGGGTGGGTGGGTGGGTGGGTGGGTGGGCGTGTGTATTTGCTCAGGTCCGTTGCCCAGCGACCGGTACTCCACCGTGACGACCACGATTCCTTGCGCGCTGAGATGCGATTTTCGCAAACTTGCATAAGGCAACGAAGCACAGGCAAGTGTCCATTGCCGAGCACTAGCTCCCTCAGAGTCTCCTTCTTCCTTAGTCAGGCAACACAGAGACGGCCGTTCACAACAAAGCCTCCTTGCAACGGTATGTGCGAACCTGAATGACAATACAACTAGCCCGAAACACAGCCCAAAAGCTCACATGTTCGACATGCTCATATAGGGCGGAGGACGCCGATCCTTTCAGCCCCCCTTCCACGGGTTTGCAAATGCGAAGAATATGAACAGGCAGGTACTTGCAATAGGCACACAAGCTAGGTCGTCAAGTCCTACTCTATAAAAACATGGACATGGGCATAGGGACTGCGGATCAGTCACGATGCTGCAATGACAACTAACAATAGCAATACATAGCCATGACCGAGCCGCAGATCCGTTGCAGATCCAAACAGAAAGCTGCCTCCATGTAGGAACACCTTGGCATGGAGCGATTAGAGGGTTTCAATTAAAGCCAAGATCTGTAACCCTGAAATCCAGCTGCTGTCGATCAAGGTCTTATGATAAATTCAATCGTTGAAGTCTTCCAGAAAGCCACGATATGCCTCATGGACTTATGGACTATTGCTCTGCAGGGCCCACAGTGTGCCAAAGTGCCTCTTGGCTAACATCCTGCTATACTTCGGGATCCAATCACGCCAGGGTACCATGACCGCATGCTTCTCCTTCCTGTCACCGCCTCAGATGGTGGCGCCCCTCTGTCAGGGCTGCAATCGCAGCAGACTGCAAGTGTTGGTGGAGTACTGGACCCTGCATGTCGAAAATTTTCGGCAGCCCAACACTGCGTGCAAGAGATGCGGGCTCTGATGGCCCTGGGTCAGACACTATGCCTGCTGACATTGTCGCTTTGATCCGTGCGGAACATTGATCTATTGAACCTATCATTGAACTTCTGGAACTTCTGGCACGCTGCAGCTTAGCGACGTGCAGGGACTGGTGCGTACACATTCAGGGTCAGGCAGTCTTCCTGACTTGGAGAGCCAAGAGGGACATGTCGAAAACAAAAGAAACGATGGCCTTTGCTTGTCCACCCACTGTGGCGGTCAAAGGTCAAGCTGCTGAATTCTGGAAGAACTACCCGGCGCTCTCACGACTGACAGCTTATATAGCTCACTTAGAGTAGGTCCCTGTTCAAGCCAGGCTGCTTCCATGTTCGTTGGCATGCCAGGGCGTGGACCTCAGAAAGAGCACAGAGGGTTCCAAGCCAAACTTTCGGTTTCGATGCTCCGCAATCCACAGGAGGACTGATGACGCGTCGCTGTCGCTTTGCTGTAGCTTCAATCGAGGAGACCTGGCTTGATCAGTTGCTGTGGGATCGCTTTGGACCTGGCTCGTCCACCATGCCAAAACTTTTGGAAAGCCTTGAAAGAACTTGCAAGGATGCTTTCAAGGATCTGCACGACCGTACGCAGAAAGGTCCTCGAATGGTTGGCAGCGCAACCTTCAGCCATGATTCACACCTTCTGATATTCAGGGCCTCAGTCGTAAGGAAGGATACAGTACCTGATATGAGAACCCCGAATTTTAAACATACTGCGGAATTCAGTGAGAATTACCAGGTAAATCCCAACGCCGGAGCTCCGCAGGTATAGTCTTAAGAACCGTGAATTGGCTTCTTCTCTTAGAAGAGCACTAAATCCTGGCGAGGTGCAGGTTGCCCCAAAGTGCGAGGCATTGAACCAACCCGAGGAGCCGTCGCTTGCCGGCTTTGGAACTTCCCAGCGGCCTGGCAAATCGAAGCGTGATTCTGGGCCTCGAGAATTTCCGGTTTGTCTGTCAGTTTACACGTGACACGCGAAGTTTTCCGGTTGGGTAGAGCCAAGACCAAACTCCGATGAGCATTTGCACGTTTACGCACAACTGCAAAGGTGGCACCAACTACCGTAAGCCTGCAGGGCCGGCTGGACAGGAGTAGCTCACTGCCAGCAAAGCTTACTCTGGTGGTCCGGAGCCCTGTTGGCTTCGGGAGAAGCTCCTTTAATACCCAACTCAACGGAAGCTACCCACCCCCACTCTGCAGGAGCGCCAGCCACCTGCGCGAGCATATTGGATGCCCAGGTGTCCATGCATAGACCCGTCCTCGACACGAACCACGGCACGGAATGGACATATAACATATAGAATCTAGGTTCCTGGCAAAAACAAGCTAGGTATGCTGCAACACTGCAGGGTCGCCATCGTCCGCTGAATCTCATGCAGTGAGTAGAGGGTCCGTAGGCTCTGTGACGAAGGGAGCAGATTGCAGATTCTAAAGCTTTGCCGACGTCGTTCAACCAGAGGCCGCAGTCAATGCCAAGATGCAGATGCTCCAACGAACGTCCCAGCAGGAGCGATGACTTCCACGACAGCGTCATCTGCTTGGGTGCCTGAGCCGGAAACTGCCGATGATCGTCTGATGGTGGCAAGCCTACAGAGCGAAGACGAGAACGGCATTGTTGAAAAATACCCAGGTTGTACAACCTTCCCAAAAAATGTGGCATGCAGGGACACTCGTAGCCTCCGCAAAAAGTTCAAGTAAGCTTCTGCTTCGCGGCAAGCCATTGGGGAATGTAGTATGTAAACTATTGGGCATGCAATTTGCAACGTTAACGGTCTGTTCTGCCCGATGCCGTTCGGAAGTTACAGCTTTCAATTCTACAATTGTTGCTATGAGACTTTGAGGGAGCCGGTATTCTTCCGCGTAATAACTTACTCGGTTGTGCCGGTTCGCGGCAAGATTTGTTAGCCACCTTCCTGGGACACTGCTGGAGTTTTGCAGCGCTTGGCAAAGTTAACTGCAAGTGTCTCGCCGCTTCGTGGTAAGACTACATTGCAATGCTCGTCACTGCCAAATAGTATCATCGTGACGATTACAAGGGAATAAATAAAAACTCACCGATCGGATGGGTTCGAACGACATCTTGGAGGGGCGAACCCGCCCTCAGATGACTATAATAACCACTACAATTATAGTGATAACGACATGGTGATCGGATAGCATGCTGCTCGAACACCAACCTTGGGGATGCTCTTGCGGGCAACTCGCGCAAGCATCGCTCTTGGTTTGCAACACTTGGGTGCAGGGCGGACAACCACCTGTTCGCAAACAGAGTTTGCAAATACGGCGATCGTACGATACTGTTTCAGGTACTCTTGCGAGGGGCGGCCATGCGCTTCCATGTTGTCGGGTGATTAGACATATCGGTCGTGAGGTGGAGCCTGCCGGATTAACAACCAACAAAGGTCGTCAGCATCTGTTTTGAGTCGCGGGCTTCTGTAGCGAAGTAGACCCAAGCAATAGATTGATTGAAATTACTGAGATTCTACTGCGTGGCTTCCAGAAGATTGTTGGGGTTGATGTCTTCCGCTTTGCACATGTGGGCGTGGTTGTTTGTTTTCCTTAGTTGTGGCGCGTGGTTTTCCAAAAACATCAGCAAGGCCACTGTTCCTCTCTGGCATCTGCTCTTCCACACCAGCCCACGGCCACGGCATCTGAAGCAGACAGAAGCAGAGTAGGAAGCCAAACACGAAGCCTCAGCTGGCAGCCACGCGGAATAGTCTGCGAGCGCCACAGCAATTTAGGCCCTGATCATACACTAGGGCCACTAGGGAGCAAGCTTCATGGCTTCAGGGGTGTCGTGGTCGATTCCAAATGCAAGCATGGACACACGGTACTGACTGGCAGAAACGATTGCGAAAACACGAAAGGACAGCTCACGCTTGATTGTACCTCAATCATAAGCCGGGTAGCTTGGCCACGACCTGGATGGCTGCTTACTGTTGGGATAGCCTCCTGTGGAGACAGATAGAAGGACAAAGAGAGCAAGAGATGGCGCGAGCTAGACCGATGGGTGCGGGGACAAACAAGGTCTCGAATAGATAAGGTCTCGATGCGGTTGGGATGGGTTTGAGGTTCGAAATCAAGTGTGCAGGATGCCAGCGCCGATCAATGCTCCTGGGAGTTGTACATATTCTGCGCTTTTGCCTTCCATTGCAGGATCGAAATGCAGCGTGGTTTTCAAGCTGCAGAAAATTTCGAGCAAAAGCTGCGGTCAATCCATTGTTTCAGGCAATCAATCACGCCCCTGTCTCAGGCCCGTCGTGCCCACCAGGACAGCGCTGCAAAGCACGTTTTCCTCGCACTGCGACATTCGCGCCATCGCAGGCTGCGGCTCTGGTGCATATAAGACTGTGATAACACGGATAAGCTTCTGCGGCTTGGCAGTCCTTCGCATGCGCGGCTGGCATCTATGCACTGGACATGCTTTTAAGCCACTTGTAATGTGCAGTAGGGTGGTTCGTTTCTCGTTAGGGGTTTTGTGGTATGAGGGGTGGGTCCTGAAGCTCTATTTTGTAAGCGCTTTTTTTTATGGGTATGGGTTTCTTGCCAGCCGCTGTCATCGATCGGTTTCGTCGACTAATTCAGGGGTCGCAGAAACGGTGGAGCAACAAGGGGTATGCAATAACAAGGACAGCCTCAAATTGATGTATGCTCTGTTGCACTAAGTCACTAAGATGCCTGACGACCCTCCTTCTCCATGCAGCTGGTCAACTCTTCAGAGAAGTCCAGAGGCTGGCAGTATTTGCCACCTGGGCATCTTAAAGCGCGCTTGCTGCCTCTGCCATCTTGGCAGGGCATTTAGCGATGCCCTTTGACTCCTTCGGAGTTCATGCGCGAGTCTCTCAGTTTATAAGCTCTGAGCTGGAAATCCTTTAAGGTGCTGAAGGTTTGGGGCTGGAGCTCAGGAAATCCGATATCCGAGTAGACATCTTCTTTGTCCAGTGTTCCAGACCAACTAATTGCTTGGGGGCTTGGGGTTAATCTGTGCCATGCCGCAGGGATTCTACTCTTCCGTCGAAAAACAAATTCTCAGGGATAGTGTTAATCTCCGCGCTCGCTTTGGCCCTATTTCTGCGCTTGCGCTTCTTTGGCCGCAGACGCCTTTTGGCGATCCTTGGAGCTCGTCGCCTTGTCCATGAGATCCCTGGCCTGACATGGCTTTCGAGTTCAGGATTCTTCCCACCTTCGCCCAGCTGCAGGCAAAGGGGAATGCCGGCAGGGAACTAGCCAAGTCGAAAGTTTCAGGCCCTTCGCAAGAAATCATGGCCATGGTCTCTTCTTTCGCGGGACAGCATTGCGCGTGTTGCAGAACGGCGAACAACAGGAATCAGAAAACGCATGCGGCGAAGATGCAAACGAGTGCACTTATGCCGAAGATTATCATAAAAAGGAGAAAAGTGGAATCAACCACTTTCCAACCCAAATAACCAGCCCCAGCAGCAGCTAACACTCGGCAATACCAGGCGATGTCTGCAGACAATCAGAGGCTCCGATGGAGAGGTTGTTTATCTATCCATCATACTTTCAAGCAGGGCTCAGCCTCGCCCACTCGACAACCGATCTAAGACAGACAAGGACACACCCGGCCCCGGGTTGGTCGAGGGATTGCACGTGAAAACGATTAAACTTCTCTCGTATGAGGTCAATCTCCACTGCTACCACCAACAAAAGCGCCAGTCGCGCACCAGACACGTGAGTACATTGTCAATGTCCAGAGAATCATCCCATGCAGCCGTGCAGAACCATGCCAACCCACGCAGGACCAAGCACGTCAAACTCTCCTGCAGGTAACAATCATTCTGCACATGCAGATCACACAGCACCAACACCGTTTTCGCAAGCCCGAGTAATGCTTCTTTGCTATGCAGTGTGCCATTCTACCCTTAGGCCACAAGCTGAGGTTCAAATTCAGGACTAATCTGTTACACTGCATTCCATCATGCATAGCCGTTGGTTGTGTCCACTTAGTCATTCCAAAAGGTCACTTCCACGCAGGTTCAAGCAGAAATTGGCATTTCGTGCAATTACGCAGTGATAGCCCGGCGGCCTCCTGCAGTTTTTTCGTAGATTGTATTCAAGTACCAAACACATCAGAGAGTTGTGCCAAATCGTGAGCACATCAGCACCAGCACCCTCATCATCGACTTGTTCAACGTCATTGTGCTAGCCATCATCACTGTTGTCGCGCCGCCGTGTTTTTCGTGGTCGTGGTGGTGCTGACCGCCATTGTTGTCAGTCTCGTTGTCGTCGCCGGCGTAGGTCGGTGATAGGCGTCATCATCATCATCTTCTCCTTCCCTTCATGCCCCAAGCCCCTAACATCCCAAATCCCCCTCTCCCACCAACAGCACAAGCCTGCTGTGCGTCGCTCAACCAGGCTGCAAGCTCCGAAGAGGCAGCCATCTCGCATCTGCCCACCAGCCTGGCGTCTTGGGATGCTCTAGTGACTCTAGTGTCTAGAGCTTCAGTACTCAAGAATTCGCTCCCGCTCCCTGGGAGAGACATCGGGAGGTGTTCTAAAGTAGTTTCAGGGCTTGGCAGCTTCTCAGAAGCTTGTTTTCTGCGGGCTCCCGTTACTATGCCGAGCTCGTACTCTGAAATACTGTGTCGCTACCTTAAAGTGATGCCGAAGCCCCCACATTGCTTTCGGAGGGTAGAGCGTCGGTAGGGCTTGTAAGGGGTTGAAGATGGGAAACTGGCAAACTAATCTGAAGCTTGCTTCAGCGAAAGGCTGCTGAGGGAGATGGCCCAGGCTCGGGTATAGATAGAGTTTAACAAGGTGAGAGCGGAGAAGCCCCCTGTTATCTGAGCCGTGGACGAAACTCTGCAACAAGACTTCATTTGCTTGGCTTAGCTTTCCCCAACCCATGATAACTCCAGCTCGTAGTCTTCTGCGCCTCTCGATATGACGGACATTGGCCTTCAGGGTAAGGGCAAAGAGTCCGACCGTCTAACTAGGAACAATGAAGCGGTGCACTGCCTTTTCGAGTTTTCATCTCATGGTGAATTGATTGATCGAGCTGCAGGACAACAGTGGGCTTCGCAGAGAGGGTCAAGGTAGGGAGACGGAGCGAGACTCCAGAGAGAGAAGGCATTGCGAGCGAGAAGAGGAGGGCACAGGGCAGCATTCAAAGATCACACGCCGCCATGTATCGGCCTTGTCGGCTTCTGGTAACGTCTGCCACCAAAGCATCAGATTTCGGAGGGTCGTGACCACGGCGCCGTAGCGCTCCAGCTTCATGTCCACACCGCGGAATTCTTGCCAAGACGCGAGCGCCGCGGAGATTGCCACGACAATGGGTGTCCAAGCTGTCTGATCTGCTGCCGCGAGCACTGCCGTGGCACTGGTTGAGGCCATGAAGAATATCTGCATGAGCAGGCGGGTACGCCGGACCTGTGGGATGCGACGACCATAGAAGTCCCGCAAGGGGGTCAGTCTCCAAATGATATACTCTTCAGGGCTCGCCGGCGCATGGTGACTGTCTCGGTCAGCTCCGGGATGAGCCTCTTGCTCTGGATGGGCTTTGAGTTTATCTGAAGGACCTTTGAGCTCCGGATACTGCTTGTGGCTGTGGTGTGCTGATGTCAGTTTGTTTGCTTTCAGCCGCTCGTTCATCATGTCAATCTTGTCCTCTTTGTTGTGCCTCTCTCCATCGACCCGAATGCAAACTTCGTCCGTCGTCAGGTGGTTCGCAAACTGATCTTTCGGGCCTAGTGCAGCATCTGCGATCGCGAAGATGTTGTCGCGAAAGCGCTCTTCGGCCTCGCAAAGGGATCTCTTTTTTATGTTTTTGTTGCTGGTTGCCAGGGTGATTTCCTTTTTGGCCTCTCTCGCTCTCTCTCTCTCTCTCTCTTCTCTCTCTCTCTCTCTCTCTCTCTCTCTCTCTCTCTCTCTCTCTCTCTCTCTCTCTCTCCATACATCCACGTAGAAACAGCACAGGCTCTTGTGTAGCCGAATAACATGACCAATTGATGAGGACAACCTCCTCAACACAGCAGTACCATTTCTGGATACTATACACGTACCACATGCCCAATTCCAGGCTGTTGTGAATGACACATTAAAGCCGTATCAACTGTGGAGCTGCAAGTTTCCTTCTTACAAGGCCGCACTCGCCTGTCGCTCACCCTCATCGGATCCGACGCTGATGTGGGTAAAATCTGCTCTTCCATAATCGCCAACTCGAGTCCTCTGGGCTTCCGTCGTCCACAAAACATTAATTACGTACTGTATTGCGCGTTCTGCGCGGCATGTGAATGTAGGATTCTTTGAGCAGCAAGCTTAGCACGAAGGAGAACGGACGGACCACACGACAACGCTCCAGCCACTGCGGTCCTGAACATCCAGATCTCAGCTTGCAGCCTTTGGCAAGCGGTTCCTGGCACATGATTAGATCTGGCAGTGAGGCCAGTAACGAACTTCCCCTGAAATCACAATCCATGTGTCACTGTATCACGTCGATCCCTGCAGACAAAAAACCAACAGACCTACATACGGGATGGGAAACCACTGGTGCGGAGAGCAAGCCGCCAATCGTACGCCAGAGCCCGAGCCCTGAACCCCTCACATCCTGGTCCAGAAAGACTACAGGGACCTGGTTGTCAGTCACCCATAATGAACTAATTTCCCAGGCAAGACTCGTAGCTTCATCCACTGCTTCGTGGGATCCGTGAAGGTCGTCCAAGCAGCAAGGCTCGAGGAAGCAAGCCCCAATCCCAACACCGTGAACTTCTTGGCATCCTCTCAGTGTGCAAGGGTTGGGATGTAAAACAGTATGGGCTGGGCGATGTTTGACTCCCAGTCGGGACTCGAACGGATTTGGGGGCCTGATTTTGGGTCTCGGCTTGAGGGCCCTCGTTGGCCCTCATCACGGATCCGGACGTGAACACTTATCAGTTATCAGGGAAAAATCAGACCATGACGGAGAGTCTGAAGCGGGTCTTAGATGCGGATCTGCGGGAGGATGAACTGGAAGCGAGAACAAACTCTGAATACAAGCAGCCCATACTCTCCTCCGACATGTCGGCAGTCCATGCGGAGGTAGTCACGAAAGTGATCACGACGCCCAAGAGAAGCAAGCAGGCAAAAGAGAGCTTGGCAACTAGCTTCAATCTCGTAGCCTTCTCATGGAAAACATCCGCCAAGGTCCAGGCACATCGAAGAAGCAATAGGCCTTCCAGTGAACTATTGTCAGGGAGTCGGTCAGAGCGCGAGTGCTTCTGCACGAGGTTCCTCAGCCTCCGATGATCACTCAGCTCGCAGCTGTCCACATCATGGGACTTCAAAACTTCGTACGCAGCCAGCCAAAGCCTTTTGTCAGACTTGACCACCTGCACTCGCTTTTGCACTTTGTCGTAACCTTTCCTTATTTGCTCCACACAAGGTGATGTGCTCTGCTCCTTTTTACGGTCCGGGAATGTCGAAAACCTAAGCTCCGAAAAGAGTGCCTAGTTGCGCCTCATCCAGCCACGATTGCAGCATAGCCTTCAATCCGTCATGCGCGCGCTCGTAGTCGTTCTCCAGCTCCCCTCTGTTCAGCATTACCCGGCTGTATCGACCTGAAGACAAGGGAACTCAGCTCGAGCTGGGAACGACACTGCGCTTGCCCATGGAAGCCCGCTCGTAAAGGACAACAAACTTCTACTTCAGGATTACCGGAAAGATCAGGAGAACAATCACAGGAGTAGCTGAGTAGCGGAACGACGATTTTCGACAATGCAGGAACATTCGATTTCTGAGGTTGAGGCCTTTGGCTTGCCAATCATTCTGTGCTGCAACCTTCTTGAAGAGGTCAATTTCACCCACCTTGACATCCCATCCGCTGAAGACCGCATAGTAGTGTAGCGTTTTGGCCCACCTCTTCTTCCATTCGGCTTCCAGTTCGTCCCAGTCCTCACATGTGCGAAGAGCCGAGATAGCTTCTTCCAGTTTCGACATGATCATCCTGGACTCCTGAGCCGCAGAAGCATCTGCAATTCTCAGCGACCCTTGAGACATGCTAGTGCAGGTATGACTAACGAGCACAAAACCCAAAGCAGGTTCACAACTATGGTCCTGCTCTGTTTGATGTGCTACAAAGTTCACGAAGAAGTCGGTCGCTTCAATGATGTTCTTGTCTGCTGCCGACAATGCTTCGGAGACTTCGTCGCGGCGTAAGTCGGTAGGAGCACTGGTGTGATGTGCCTCGAGCATTGCCTGGACGATGGCTTCGTGAAGCCAAAGATCTCGATCCTTTCGCTGTTTTTTCTCATTATCCTTTCGATGGATGCCAGCGCGGATGCATGCCAGTGCAGACCCGATGTGGGTGTCGTACAGGGGTGTTTCTAGGGCGTTCAAGCGCTCGGCGTGCTTCTGAAGCTTTTGACAAGCTTCATGAAAGGGCTCGCTGGCAAGACTCTTTCTCGCTGTCTTTTCGTCTACATGCATGCTGATGTCGTCCAGCGGGTCGCGTGGCAAACGGGACTCGAGAGTGGTCTCGGCCGGCGGCTCGTGTTCCTCATCATTGTATCTACTGTCCAGCAGAATCAAGGGAATGCCGTTGGTAACATAGTTCAATGCCTCGAACTTCAAAACATTGACGTCGCCGCCTGTCCAGAGTGCGAGCACTGGGACAGACTTGCGAAGTGAAGACAGGAACATGTTCTCGAACTGGACTGCAGCGCGTGGATCATGGAGCCCCTGGTCGTTCAAACACTCAAAGACGAAGTATGCCGCGGCACCTTCCACAAGCTGATGGCGCGGCCACAGAACCGGGTCAATGCCGTAGTGATGAGAAAGTGCAGGGATGAAGTCGGCACGCTGCCAGGCATCGTTACTCCCTTGTAGCTTTCCCTCCAAACTGTCGGGCTTCAGCTTGGTGTTCACTTGCAGATTGCGCGCATGCTCGAAGATTACCATTTGAAACTTGCATTGGTCCCCGAGGCTGTTTTGAAGAGGCTCACTGACCTCTGCGAAGGCATTGGTCAAACTGCAGGAGCTTCTCCCGACGATCAGGGCCTCCGTCTGATGTGCCACAGGCAGGAGCACTTCCCTTGCGATGACATTCCTTGGCGGCTGCCACGTCAAATTATGTGCAAGTACCCTAGCCTCCTCCATCCGCGAAGCAGTCACATGTTCATGCTCACACATCCACAGGCACATACGCAAACAATCTAGCAGATAAAGAGAGAGAGAGAGAGAGATGTATAAATATATATGTATATACATATTTCTTTTTTTTGGCTCCCGCTTGGCTGATCCGAAGACCGCATTGCAGGTCACACGTGGGACACGGGTCTGGAAGGCTACACAGTACTCACCTTCCCACGGACCTGGATGAGCAGATATATCTGCTACCCCCCCCTCAAGTACCCAGGTTTTCGTCTTTATGCTGATAGCACGAAGGAAGTCGGACAGAAAAGGCTGCAAGTGCAAACGCATGGTCGCGATACGCCGACATATAGTACTAGTAGTGAGCGAGTGTGACAAAACTGCAGGGTATTTCGAAGCAGGCCTACTGAAACTCACTAAGAGAAAGAGCTTTGCACGTCATAGAGGTCATACTGTAGCATCCCCAAGGCCATGCGCGCAGATTCGGATCAAGGTGGATAGTGGCCATGTTTACTTGGCTGTCGTTATGGTTTTTACACACGCAACAATGTCATTGCTGTGGTGGGTTTTACAGACCCTCACATGAATTGCTGTGTTCATTGGTTCATACAGCCATTTATGGAATATGCCTAAAGCAGTGTCATATAGTGTCAGTATACCTGTCAAAGCCTTTAGTCTTAGCATCACTGTACAATGATTCATGCGTGTCTGTCAAATTAGCAGTCAGTAGCGACAAAAGTATGAAATCGTGTTTCACGATGGTGTGTAGGTTTCGCAATTTCTACTGGAAGTATAGTCTCCATTGCCTTAGGAATCCGATCTCCGTTTCTTTTCTAAGTCATGAAACTGCTACATAATCAGTTCTTCTATATCGAATTCAAAAAATGACGTGTGGTTTTAGTATTTACCTCTCACAGTGTTGTTATCACATCTTGTAAAGTTTCCATTATTCCTGTTACCGTGGTGCTCATACTTCACCAATACCAAGCCATTTAGCACCATGTACCACCCGGCTTTCTGCATCAAGTTTTTCTGTGTCAATTACTGATGTGATTGTTCATTCAGAGTACTTCGTATATTGTTCAGGAACCTTGCTTAATAGTAGCCTAGCATTATAAAGTAAATGTAGTACCTGCTGAGTTTTATGTTTTATACATTTTGCTAAGTTGAGTATATACCTATCAGAGAGTATCACGTGAATACGTACACCTGTGCTTCAAAAACTTCTCGGAAGGATGATGGTTAACCAAGTCACACATTTGCTTGCTTTTTGCCTGCTGAGGGTGGGCAAACACCAAGCAACATAAATACTTTCTACATTTATCTTCAGAAGTGGGTGATTAAGCTAATTGGCACAAGCATGTTCGTGCAGCAATAGCTTTCCTGTTGTAAAGTTTTGAATCTTAGACATGGAGTATAGCCTTGTACGTGATAAACAGAAACCCATGAACTGGTGTTCGCACCGTAGCGTCTTCAAGCGAAGACTATTAATTACCTAGCTTCGTGTTGGACCAAGTAGTGAGTTTAAACAAGGATGCAAACAACCTGCCGGCTTGTTTGCAAAACACATTGCGCAAGTACGTCAGATCTGCTCAATCGCAAGTTTCGGTAACAACGCCTTGAAATATGTACCTGTGGACAATGTTGGTGAAACCAACATGTTCAACCATTCCCATGGATCTGGAGAAACTTTGGGAGCAGGAGCCGTAGTTTCGGGAATCATGCAAATTGTTCGAAATGTTGGTAAAACCAACAATTTCCATGATTCCCCAGAGACAAATCATGGAAATTGTTGGTTTTACCAACATTTCCAACAATTTCCATGAATTTGGAAAAACCTCGGGAGCCCGAGCCATAGTTTCGGGAATCATGGAAATTGTTGGACATGTTGGTAAAACCAACAATTCCCATGATTCCCCACAGACAAATCATGGAAATTGTTGGTTTTTACCAACATTTCCAACAATTTCCATGAATTTGGAAAAACCTCGGGAGCCCGAGCCATAGTTTCGGGAATCATGGAAATTGTTGGAAATGTTGGTAAAATCAAAAATTCCCATGTATTGTCTGAGGGGAATCATGGAAATTGTTGGTTCTTCCAGCATTGCCAGCACGTTCCACGTATTTGGAGAAACCTCGGGAGCAAAAATACAGTAGACGCTACACTTAGAAGCCCCGGTAGCCACAGTAAACGAAAACGTGCTTTCCCAGAGACGCAACGACCAAGGAACACAAACAAATATTAGGGACAAGGCGTCTGACTTGAACAGGACATAACCTGGGTACCGGGGGGGGTACCATATATCTATATATTTGTATACATGTACATATGACTATGTACATGTAACACGAACGTACACACATACATGTGCATATAAGCAGATATCACGCGTGTCTCTGTGGATGTGTGTGTGTGTGTGTGTGTGCGCCCCTGTCTGTGTACACTCACTCGCTTAACGATGAGAACAGGACCGTTACAACGATAACAAAAGCAAGTCAATGCTAAAACCACAAACGACAACAGGGAGCTCTGAAGTTCCAAAACTGCAGCATGGAGGGACGGACGTCGGATTCAGGAATTCCGTACCGGGATGCATTCAAATCTGCAACATGACGGGCATTCAAATCTGCAACATGAACCGCAAAACGCCTGAACCTTTAAGCCCCCAAACTCCAATACGGTCTCAAAATGAGTCCTGCGGCTTCAAACCTCAACTAAGCTGCATCTGCTTCTCCACCTCCTCTTCATGGTGAGGAAGCTCTGGAACTGTTTTTGACGGCAAGAAATCCTTCAACTTAGGCCGCCCCTTCCTGAGACGTCGGCTTGCTGCTGCAGGGGTTGTTTGGGATTGAAAGGCATCTCTACTAATGGCCTCAGTCGTTTTGAAGAGCTATACGAGGACCCAGCTCCGTCATCTCATACAACAAGGCAAAACGGTTCGCAACATGCCCAGCTTCCAGTAGCTTCGGCCCAGGAGCGACGGAATCAGCAGAATCACCAGCCTAAGCTATCACGCTGAGTCGAGAGAGAAGAAGAACTGCTATGGCACGCAAGA